TAACATGTTGGAAATTAAAAAAATTCTTCTCATTAGCCCTTCAATAAGAGAACATTTATCCGGTAACATGTTGGAAATTTAAAAAAATTCTTCTCATTAGCCCTTCAATAAGAGAACATTTATCCGGTAACATGTTGGAAATTTAAAAAAATTCTTCTCATTAGCCCTTTAATAAGAGAAATTAGTATTGAAAACATGTGATGATTCAATTTTTCCTGCGATTTAACGCGATATTAATTTGAATTTGTTGGCTTCATGTGTTTAAAAGTATTTGCATGTATGCAATTTAGCAAAATTTCTTAAACAGACTGAAGATACATCTAGCACTCATGTGAGTTGAATAGAACGTGCTAAATAAGCGGTTCACGGGCCACGGCGATTCAAATGTCTCGTTTCATAGTCAGGGACGCAGCATGGAACATTTTTTTTCAGAAATTTTATGAAGATTATTTATATTTTGAAATTTTTTACTTTTAGTATAATGCTTAGATAAAAAAGCATATCAGGATCATTACGATTTGTTTGATAAATTTGAATGAAGCGTGACTTGATCCATTTTTTTGAGGCGGACATACTTATTCCTGCCTAGTTTGGCGTGTTCTAGTTCTATATGGGGTATCCACAAAGGATGAGACTGTAAAGACGACCTTTAAATTAAGTCATTTCCCTTAGATATAGAAATAAGAAAGAAATAAGGTTTTAGTTGCAGAGAATTATAGATATAAGAAAACAGATGGTGCAAATTCTGTACAGTCGTATTTTTAGTCTTTTCATAAACTTTTATAAAAGCATTGATATTCACCCCTTTTCTGTTTTATGTGAATACGGGTATCTATAAATCTTTAGAAATTGTTTAAAAATGTGAATTGTAAATTTTGAGTCCCACCCTGCAGCCCCCATGCAAACATACCAATATGAATATGACGGCTAGTTCATAGATATGCAAATTTGAAACTTAAAACAGGGAAACATAATATGTTTAACCTTCAGAACAGCATGCTTTTTAAAGTTCCTTTTGAAAGCATAGATTTAAGATTATCGCGGAAATATTATATTCTGTATTCATACAGAATGCATTCATTGTATTTTGTGTGGGTTGGAAAAGCCATTTCACCAAAGAGAATAGATTACACATAGAGTGGAATTTACTCCAGAAAAGTGTAAAACGGCCATTTTGTTGTACTGTTTCCATACTGCAGGTGTACTTCAAACATTTGTGTTGTATAACCTTTGGGCCCTGCAACATCAGTTTATAGAAAAATTAATTTAAAACAAGATATTAATTGCAGTATACAACAGAGTCTGAAGCAAAAAACACTATCAATTCTTTAGGTATTCACTTTACAAACGACAATTTTTACATTTTAATGTTTAATAAAATAATGATTTTAATTCACCTATAGCAAATACACACGTTTAAAGTTATTTAACAACTTTATAAAACAAAGAAATTGGAATGGATATGTCCAAGGATCATACTGTATTAGTGTGATGTACTGCATATAATTTGTGAACATTTACATTAATTGTACGCTTTGAAATCCCTTTCAGGCTGACAAAATTCATACTGAGGGATTCCACTGTAATATATTCTATTCTCTTTGCATTTCACCCTCAACTAAGCATTTGGTGTGTAATGCAGAAATTTGTAATACACTAACAGAAGAAATTGATTTGTGAATGACAAGTATGCACTGCATTTTGTCAACACTTTAAGCATCTCTACCAAGGGAATGCAAACTGTGTGACTTATTTATTCCGCATGCTCCGCGTTATTTCGTCCATCATTAAAACATTTTGCAGATAAACCATTTTCCTCTTCAACCAAAGAAATTAAGTCTTTGTCACAAACTCCATGATTTTTAATCTCTTTCTCAATCGTAACCTAATATCGTAGACCTTACGATATTTCAAAATATGAATTCTGTTGAATCAAACAATCTAAGGTTGAAATACCGACATACTGCAGAAATATATAACCAATTTTTACCCAATAGATGTAGTTTTTCTGTATTTGATATTTTGTACTTCTATGTTGTGCTATATATTCTAAATATTTAAGTACATAAGGTATCTGAAGCTTTGTTGACGCGCAAATTTTGGATTAATTCAATATATGACTTAAAGTACAGACAGGATCCAAATAGATTATCAAGTCCAATAGGTGGCAACAGAGGAATTGACCAATTACAAATGACGTCACAAGTGTCAAATTTAACTAGGAAAACATTAGTTGACATGTTTTCAATATCAAATAAAAAAGTGCAAAAACAGAAACTAAAGAACATAAAATTGCACTTATTTTACTGTAAGATAAGCACTTGATTCTAAAATTATCATTATAACTAATAATTTTGTCGGACATAAAACTGAATTGACACTTGTGACCTCAGAATATACCTTAATGTATGTTGCCATCTATTGTACTAGAATCTATTTGGACAGGATGTACTTCGCTGTAGTTAGTATTACATGAGGGTGTATGTATATATTTTAAACTTTTAACTCCAATATTAGTATCGGACAGCATACATGCACTCTATAGTTCGATTTATTTAAAAATGAAGGTATAGCATCTGATCTAAATCCAGTTTACAAAGCCTGCCATCTACTGTAATCGATTTAAATGATATTTTTCAATTTGATTGATTCAATATTAAATTGCTTCACCTGGTGGACGTCAATATTAAAAAAACTGATAAAAAAGTTATTTCAATGGATAATAATCATGTTCAATTATGGCATTACAGGGAAGCAACGGATACTCTCTCTCTCTGCTACTGTGGTAAGCGTGTATATTAATATAATGATAACAAAGATCGCTGCGAAGATTTACACTCAACATGCATCACCTTTAGAAAATATATTCGTTAAGTCATGACAATTGTCAACCCCTCTCCTTTAATATCTTTCCAAGCATACCCACCCTAAACAAATTAAGGTATAAATTGCAAGTAAAAGAATTTAGGTTTTGACACAAACTCATTTTTTAAACACTATATCTTTGCAACCTGATCGATCGCGTAAACCTTAGATCTTAATTTAAACTGAGACTATTCAGTTCAGTAGAATTCATAAATAGTTTGAAATATCTCAGGTCTTATATAGAGATTAGAATATCAGAGTTTGCGGCAAAAACTCAATTTGTTTGTTGACTAAAGTAGTGCTAAATAGCAGGACATTTGCTTCTAATACAATTTGTTTGTTGACTAAAGTAGTGCTAAATAGCAGGACATTTGCTTCTAATACAATTTGTTTGTTGACTAAAGTAGTGCTAAATAGCAGGACATTTGCTTCTCATACAATTTGTTTGTTGACTAAAGTAGTGCTAAATAGCAGGACATTTGCTTCTAATACAATTTGTTTGTTGACTAAAGTAGTGCTAAATAGCAGGACATTTGCCTCTAATACAATTTGTTTGTTGACTAAAGTAGTGCTAAATAGTAGGACATTTGCCTCTAATACAATTTGTTTGTTGACTAAAGTAGTGCTAAATAACAGGACATTTGCTTCTCATACAATTTGTTTGTTGACTAAAGTAGTGCTAAATAACAGGACATTTGCCTCTAATACAATTTTCTATTTTCTATATTTTTTTATTGGTTTTGTAAAACTTTGACTAAGGTATCTTATCGGACCTATCAAGGATAACTCATCAAAGTTTGAAATATTAAAAGTATAATACACCAGGTTTCTATGATATCAGAGCCAAAAACTTTAGAATGGTGGATATCGAGATTAATGCTTGATCTTCTCTTTTTCTTAATCTCCAGATTAAATAATGCTTGTTCTCCTCTTGTTATAAATCTCCCGATTAATTTACTAATCTGGATTAAGGTTTCAGCTCAGGATTCAAAACTTAGGGTTTGATGAGGCAACTTTGTGAAGTTTTTCACGCAATTAGTCTGAGATATACCAAAAAGTATGCAAACATTTGCTTGCGATTTAACTAATCCTAAACACTTACTTAGTTTTATTTTATATTTTCTGTTAAATAGATTTGCAAAATGTGATCAAATAAGAATTTGATTTACGCATTCTTTAATATTTCATTTTAAAGCATCACTCGGCAGCAATTTATGATAACATTAAATGTTATAAATCGGTTCAAAACGATGTCTAATACTACCAATATGTGTATAAATGTTCATTTAGAGTTTAATGAACTACATCTGGGTTATATAGAGCTCATGAATGACGAAAAAACTATTATGTAATAGTTATTTTTTAATGCAATCAAAATAATTGCAATGCAATTTTGGAAAGTAATTGTCAGTTAAACAATCTTTATTAAAAAAGCATTTTTTGGCCACATCAATTTCATTGTAAAGCTTTAATACGTTTTATTGATAAGAAATCTAAATATTTTAGAATATTGTACATTCTAGGGAGTTTTCTGTATTTTAAAATGAAATCATTTTCAAAACGTTAGTATATGATGTTATGGACATAGAACCTATCAAAAGCAGTCCCCCCCCCCTCCTCCAGCCTTCACGTGTTGATAATTGAATTGTAGAAAAAAAATAAAGATAAATTCTCAATTCCGAAAAGAAATAAGTTACTTCTACGTATATAAATGGTTTACCGATGTTTTGTATATAAATAAATGAAGAATTGAGCCGGGATACAGCCCGCCATCACCTGTGTATACGCTGCTTATACCGGCCAGTTGCGTCGTACATCCCGGCCTGTGAACATTAAAAGAATTCCAAGAATCTGCGGATTTCAAAGATAAAATTTCACGGATTTTCTTTCACCACAGTTGATGTTTTCTAGTAGAGGAGGGCCGTTAAACCGCAAAGCTAGAAAAAGTAATTATTGTTGTTATTCTAACATCAAGTGTATACATGTATGGGGCGTCCTGACAAGAGCACAGAGAAACCAAAACATCTAATTAAGTTGTCATTTCTCCAACCCTCCTACACACCCATAAACCACCCACGCAGTAGTACTGCACCGATAATATATGATAAAGTGAACCCTGAAGATTATGTGAATTGTGAGAGGTTTAGGTTCTCTCAGAGTCTCTCATCTTCTCTCTTGGAACTAGAGAGTTAAGAAACCTTGCAGAGAACGGTTCGGAGAACTAAGTTTGCTACTGAAAAGTGAAAAGTAGATCTGTGTTTTCCAGGAAGCAATTAAAAACGTAAGGTTTAAATTAGTTTAAATAAACTTTGCACACAAAATCCAACAAAAAATCGTGTCTAATTTTGATTTAGTTTCTTACAAAATGTCTAAGAACCCTCTTATTTGAGTTTGAAATCATTTAGAAACATTTTCGAACATTTCCTGTTTCTAAAACCTATAAGGTTTAAAAGAAAAACGAATTTTCGAAAAATATGTATACAAATTGTTTGGTCTTCTTAGTGTTTTAACCTGCTTAAAAAGACCAAATATACAATGAGATAAGAATTTCTTTACGAAGCAATATACGTATAAAAGTATGGTTTGGGTTTGCCTCTATCTATACGTGTTAAGGTGCCAGGGTCAAAGTTAGGCGTTAAACTAGAATTTGAATCCGGAACCTTCATGTTTTCCACACGTATAATTTTATAAAATATTTGCTATAATTTAATAAAAACTTGGAAAATATTCTTAAAATGAAACGCCAGGATAAAATTTAGTCATGATTTTGTTTTCATTTTTTAGAGATAATCTTTTCTTGATTTTGCATGTTTTTGGTTCCTCTCTTATCTGCTAATTGTCTTCTATATTCAGTAGGATTTGTTTTGTTGCTCCCAAACTTGTTATAGGGGGTTTCTGATTACTTGATTATGTTAGCATACGAATATATATATATATATATATATATAAAATATATACATATATTGTTGCTCTATCCAAGTAGAGATGGGCATATAGTTGTTCAGCTGTTATTCTTTAAACATTAGGTTGCAAAGATATAAGGATTTGAACATTTGACTATGACAGTTGAGTATAGTATACTTACATTTTCTATATCTTTGATATTTCAAACTTAGAATATTTGATCCTACAGAATTCATATTTATTTAGTATCTAAGGTCTTCACCATTAGGTTGCAAAGATATAAGGATCCTTTGTTAATTCTCTCTGAATTGTGTTCAGTCTCTTGAAAATTAAAATCCAAGAATTAAGACGATGTCCAACTCTAATTCTAAGTATTCCATTGTAAATTTCTATTGTCTTATCAGAATGTATGTTGAATATATGCAAAGTGAATATAGTGTTGTGTGTTGACCGTTCAGAGAATTTCAAGAATTTAGAAACCTTTCAATAAGTTTTAACTGTCTAGTTTAAAATCGATGCATTACCATATGTTCTAGAACAGGGGCGGGCACATGATTCAAAATGGAGGCGAGGGAATTAGCGCATTTTTCACTCTAATAGTTACAAAACGTATTGTTAATTTTTTGTTTCAATAACACTATAGTTTTAGTAGAAGTAATTATTTCTATTTACTGTTTAGCGCTGATTCAAGGATTCATAACTCTAATTGTATAATGAGATAGATAGAAAGATAGATGTTACCGCCATACTTTTCTAATGGTTCAGAATAGAAAACAAACACATGACAGAACCCTGATTGGATCAGGCGCTAATGGACTCGGCATACAGGATTGATAAATGCAGCTCAGATTAGAATGATTGATTTAAACAGACTAATTTGTCTAGCTTCTATTAACTTTATTTTCCAGTTTTTTTTTAGAAATATTTTATAGCCCATAATATGGAAAGCAATAACTTTACTGCACACTAAAACGCAAAAAAGCTTAATTGAAGAGAAATTGACGGGAAATCGAAAAGAAATCTTATATTGAACTCAATCTCAGGTTTTTAATTGAAAAGTTTATTCAGACATATTTACGTTTCTAATAAGGTCTTTAAACTTCAGTGGTCTTTTTAACAATTGATGCTAACAACGATTCACAATTAAGTAACGGAGATATCCTCATTTTCTATCTAAAAATTTAAAAAAATTGTGTTTGGCCTTTTCAAATTTTTTTTTGCATAATCTATATTTAAATCGGGTTGATTCAAATATAATTTTCAAAAAGAGATACTCGTTCAAATACATGATAATTCTGTAAAAAAAGAAATTCAAATCTTTGCTGCAAACTCTGATTTTCTAATCCCTATATCTTTGCAACACAATTTCGTATATCTCAGATATTGCAAACCATAAATTCTGTTAGATCAAATAAGATATGTAATATTTATCAAAGGTTTACACCATCAGGTTGTAAAGATATAGAAATTTTGAGTGGCAAAGATTTTCTTTATGGAAGGACTCATTTGATTAAACGAGTGTCAAGTGTTTAAATATATTCTTAAGTTTGTATAATGTAGTTTTAACACATTGTGTTTACTTGTTAAAGCATTTAAACATTTACTGTTTGTGTTGATTCACACTTTAACGTCATTTTGTATCTTCTCATATGTCAAGCCATCCCTTAGCCCTCCCCCCCTCCATTCTTTCTCCTATTTTCCCCCCTTTGTTCCGCACTGTTCCCCTATTTCATGCTTGTTTTAGTTTGTACAATTTCAATCCTTATACGAACTGAGAGATGAAGACAAACATTACTTTTTTGCAGGAGGGGTGGGCGGGGGAATAGGGTGGCGGGGAGGGAGCGAAGAAAGGGTTGAAGAGGGGTGGAGGTATAAGATGAATAGATAGAGTTAACACAATAGATAGTCCCTTGTCCTGTTCTCTAGAAAATGTTTGAATGATATTTTACGAGAACGTTTCTATAGTTTTGTACAAACATACATTTAAATAGAAATGAAACTTAAATTGAGGGGGAGGCTTCAGCAATTTGTCTTTTGTAAGAAAAAAGCAAATTGAGAAACAAAGGAACTTAAAACTAGCCTATAGCTCTAATTTTCTAATCCCTGTTTTTGCAACCTAATAGAATTTCAAACTTTATCTTTTTCATCTGGCAGAATTCATTGTTTGAATTAAAGTGTTCATTTCAATTAAATCTTTCTCGGAGGCAATACATGTAGACTTTAAATAGACATTAGACATGCACTATCTTCTGTACGTCTAACTCTAGCTAATATCTCTGTAATTAAGTTTTAAACCTAAATTATAATTTCATTATCCAGGTGTTTATATTCCTCAGTATTGTTAAGCAGGAAGTTCTGCAAATTGACTTAGAGTCGGCCACAAACTTTCAGCGGTCAGCGCGCCTGCTGGGCTGATCCGAGTCGGNAGTTTAAAGGAGGTGTCAGGGGGTGTTTCTTAATTTCATGGTAAATTATTTATTTTCAGACAATTGAAAACAAAATTTAAGTTCTGTCTCTTTCTTGTTGAGGATTTGAGTTTTTGCCGCGACCTGTGATGTTCTTTTCCGTATATCTTTGCAACCCAAGATCGTATACCTTAGATATTTCAAACTGCAATCAAATAATTAAAGTTTAAAACATCAAATGTTTCCAATTTCTAAGTATTCGTCTTAAGAAAATATTTGGAAAACTTCTTGAGAATTTTTTGAAATTGAATAAATTTTGATGAATTCCACACAGTTGTCATAACTTCCATCTCTTAATTCAAATCTGTTCAATTTTTTAAATTTAGACTTTCAAATTCGTCTTACCCATATATTTCCAGATAAATATTAACGTGTCTTTCATCCTTCATCCTTCCCTTCTAAATACACAATTCGAACATTTGCCTCATCCAGCACTCTTTTTTCTAACTGTAATTCACCATGCTTCACGCCACTATTTATTGTTTTCCAATCTGAGAATTCACCATTCTTCACGCCACTATTTACTGTTTTCCAATCTGAGAATTCACCCTGCTTACACCACTATTTACTGTTTTCCAATCTGAGAATTCACTCTGCTTCACACCACTATTTACTGTTTTCCAGTCTGAGAATTCACCCTGCTTCACACCACTATTTACTGTTTTCCAGTCTGAGAATTCACCATGCTTCACGCCACTATATACTGTTTTCCAGTCTGAGAATTCACCATGCTTCACGCCACTATTTACTGTTTTTCAATCTAAAATTGCCACTTTAAGAATTCAGTAATTCTTTTGAAAGCATGTATTTTATCTTTCACATATGCTAGAATTAAATTTATGAATATATATCGATTAATTATCAAACCCTCAGATGCATCTAAAAAATATACTTAATTTATTCATTATTTATCAATAAATCAATAAATATTTTTAATTTTCCATATTAGTGTATACAAAATACACACATGCGTCACTGCAATGTTTACGCATAAAAACTCTATGCAAGCCATGATTATTTAACAAGAATTGTCTGTTGGTTTTAAAGCTTCAACTTTTTCTGAATGAAGATATTTTTGGGTGGGTGGTACAAAGGAACTGAGTTCTTGTAACAAACTGTGATACTTCAACCCTTATATTTTTGCAACCCGATGTCATAGACCTTTGATATTTTACACTATTAATTCTGTTATAGTAAATAGTCTAAGCTTGAAATATCAAAGGTTTACACCATCAAGGATCAAAGAAAAGAGGATTAGAAAGCTTGAGTTTGTGGTAAGAATCAGTTTCTTTAAACACATTTTTGATATTTTTAGTTGTAAAGAAGGGGGGTGGGGGGGTCTTACCCTTGGCCAAGTTACCCCTATGAATGATGTTATGATCTAGGTTCTACAGATCTGACCTCTTCTTCCTCTCATTATATCAACTCAAATGTTCTCACCCTATCCACCAATCATCATGCAAACATCAAATCTTATATTCAAAGGGAAACCCTAAAAGGTGGTTCAGAAAACAACGCAAAAAATGATATTTTTAATATTTGTATATACTACCTTTTTGTTTTTACAGAGCATTAAAAACTGCCAAATAATCTTTTTTTTAGAAATAGAAAATAAAAGTAATATCTTTAAAAAAGTGTATTTAAAAATATATAGCTGAGTGTGTAATTTACAAATCAAAAAGTGTTGTTTTATTTCAGCAAATGACAGTAAATGCTTACAATTGTGCTGAATTCAAAATTATTTGCATTATTCGATAAAAATCTATCTTTTGCAAGGCCTTGTCAGGTTAAATAAGCATTATCATTTAACTTCACTCTATAGATACAGAGTGCTGCGCTTAAAAAGACAATGAAAGACGACTTTCTGATATTTTTTGATTTGTATTACTTTCTATTGACTAGATTTCACCATAAAAAGTCCAGAACTTGTAAGCTTTTTATGATTGTTGCGAACCTCCAGTCATGCATCTTTATTTCTTTATTTTTTGTGATTATATACAACCATCAGAGATCAAAGACGATCTTTAAAGGGATTGGTAGCGTAATTTCAAGCGATCCTTCTGAAGATGTATTGTAGAGAACTCATAATATAGTTTTCTTGATAAACATTGATGACTAATTACATGCTTGATCAGACAAAGCCTTTCAGGGTACCGTTGTGAATCGGGAATTGACATATTTTCATGGAAAGCCACTTGAAATTACGCCCACAGTCCCTTTAAGTCTACGTTTTAATTGGCATAGCCAGTGGAAAACTCTATGCTCTCATTTTTATTGAAGGAAATGGAGGCTTAACTTTGATATGTTTTTAGGAATAACTGTGGTAGAAAGCTAGATGACTTTTTAAATATGATTATCTTAATGACATGATATAACCCTGTTTTTCCGGTTTGTTATTCTGTGAAAATCTGCAGAATTTGCGGAGAAAAAAAAAAATCAAATTTAATTGACCGAAAAGTAGAACTAAAATATGTTGCGTTGCATTTTAGCACAAAAAGCATGCATGTATTGACATATATATATATATCTTTGCAATATTCATTCATAAAATTTTTACCGCGCATATTTATTATATGGGCCCTTTTCAGAGTTGCGAATTTTTCTTCTTTAAATCATGGCGTCTCTCAAGTTTTTCATGGAGCCAGTGTACAACTTTTGTAGGAAATGCAGAGTTAGCCCCAAAGGATTAGACGTTAAAGATTGATTTTTTTCCTGAACATTATTTTTTTAATTATTTTGTTTTAAAAAAATGCTCAACCTTTTTTGGTAACAAGGTTTGTTTTATAAACGAGAAACTCATATCAAAACATAAATCTATTAAATATAACTGGATGAAATCTGTCGTCTTCGTCTGTAAAATAACATATTTTGTAGGTAACCCTTGTTGCTTGAATTGGGTATAGAGTTGATTATTCAAGAGGATGTTATAGGTTAAACCTATACCTTATATTCCCATGGGAAATATTAAAATTATTAATTACTGAGTTTCTAAACCTTTCGTTTCCATTCCCCCCCTCCCCTCCCCTCCCTCTCAGAATAAAGACTGCCTGTTTTATAAGAAATTATGACGATTGCCCCCCAAAAAACAGTTTCTTAAAAAAGCACCTTTGAGCTGCATTAATAAGACAATAATTTCACTCATTTTTCTAGCAACTGTTTTTCTAGCTATCAAATTTCAGACAACTGTATCTGCAGCAGTTTACACACAAAAAAATAAAGTTTTCTTTAACTTCGAATTGCTGTGAACCAAAAAGTTTTCGTTTTCACAATTCTCTTAATTTAGACTATATTTTTTTAATAATGACTTCGTTTCACCCTAAAGCTTGTAATTGAATTTTGGTTGGAATGTATCGGTTCTAACCTCCCAATAGGGTTCATAAACCTTCCATTTCCTCTCCTTTCTTTCTTCTTTATCTATTCATCAATTCAACTATTTTGACGAGAAATAGTGTAAATATTTTGATTATTTAATTTATATTCTCTCATACACTCTCCTCTCCGCTTCTCACTTCCTAACCTCCTTTAAAACCCCCTCCCCCTAATTCCCCTCCCCCTCATGCAATTCCAAACTCTCACTGTTAAGTGAAAATGTTTGCAAAATTTATTATAACAGCATGCGTCTTGTACTACCGTGGCCTGAAGGCCCAATCCGTTTCTTATCTCAATGTTTAATTTTAACTGTGCCCCTTTTAACCCCATTAAATTTACACCTCCCCCCCCCTGAAACGTATAGTGCTATACACAATCTTGTCCCTCTCTAGGTACTTTAAATCCGTTGCAATCTGTCAGATATACTTCTTATAGATTGTATAATATCAAATTTGAAATCTATACCACTTAATGCTCATTCATTAACACCTGCAATATCACTCGGAATATGTTTATCTTATACAACTTTGCACCCTCATAACTCCGCCACATTGTATCTAACCCTCTAATAGTGAGAAATTAAAAAGAAGTTTTAAACATTCTAGGTTTCTTATCAATAGTGTACCCGAGACTGAACATATAAAATTTTCAACAAATATAAAATGTATATTTCCGAATGGGACTTGCTTGGATAATAATAAAGGGATTGTCGAAAAATGTCAAATTACTCTCCATTTGAAGAAAAAAAGAGAAGAACGGTACCCTTTAAGCCTTTAACCTAACCTAGGATTAATTGATAATTTTCAATAAACAATTCTCTATAGTTCTCTATAAACAAGACTTACGGATTAAGGCAACAGAACCTAAGAATAAAAAATGTTAGAATTAGAAATTATTTAAGATGGAAAACTGACGATATATCTTCCTCATTCCTTCAGCTTACACTCCGTTTCATGAACGATTCAAGATTATCAAGTTTAATTCTAGAAAGTTTTAGTTTGATAAACCCCAGACAAAGACATTGGGTCGTTTGGAAAACTGAAAACCCATGAAACCCTGAATTGTAAAACAGAATTCATAATTTGTGTACAGATTACACAGATAGGACAAGAGAGGTAGTTTTTGGGTTTATCTTCCAAACATAAAGTGTAATCATTTGTACTCTTAAAACCTTATTTGTACTGAAAAATACACAAAGAATCTTTTTCAGTTTTTTGTATTTTTTTATATTCTGTAGAAGCCTAAAAATTAAGATGAATTGGACAAAGCTCGATTAAAGTGCTTGAACAAAATTTCTTTGTTTTCAGGAAAAAAAGCTTTTAAAAGTAAGAACTTGCATTATTATTGTTAAAACTGGCTGTAAATTGGTAGTAAATTCAAGGTGCAGTTTAACTGATAAAAATATCAGCGTGGTAATTTAAATATACAAAGTTTTAAAAAAAAACTTTTTTATTTTTTTTGATCTGTGAATATATTTTGTAAATTTGCATAATTTCTCACTGTATCTCTCTCTAGATTACAAATCTCATATTTACCACAAAACTTTGGAAAGTTTAGACTCTAAAAGCGAATTTAATCTTTATGAATATTGAGACCAAATACGGGTCTTAAAAGTTAAAACTTGTTTCTTTTAAAGTTTTACGTGTTTGCAAAACCATTTCCAGGTTTAATTCCCTTAATCAAGATAACTAGATATTTTTAAACCGATGCAAATCAGATTCAAGAAATGTAGTCATTTAGGATAATTCAATTTATGCAAAGTTCACGGATTTGCATAATCTTGGAACTTCATAATTTAGCAGGTTCCTCAGTTTGCGTCCTTTACAGTGTAGGAAACTTTCTTTATTTTTATTCCAAAAAAATGCGTCCAAAGCTAATTTTCTTGACCCTCCGAGAAAGGGAGGAGAGCTTTAAAAAGTTGTGAATGAACACTTAAATGGACAGCATCTAAAAGTTTGTACAACATTTTTCATTCGCGTAATTTAGGATTTTAGCCATTTTCATAGTTGTCTTTGCTGAAAAAAACAGTGAAGCTTAAAAGCCATTACACTCTCACTTTTCTGGACCCAATGTTTCTTTAAACCTTCTGATTGTCAAAAATTACGCTTACAGTCCCTTTAATTTGAAAAAAAAACAGGCTTTTGATGAACTTGTTTACTACCTAAGATTAATGTATTTCTATTTTCAGGTTTGAATAGTTTAAACTGAAGTCGGAGACGGATAGAAGTGTCCCCTTGGGATCCTGGAGAGAGCAGGAACAAACAGAACCTGGAGTTCCGTCTTTGTCCCGTGAAAGGTGTGAAAAAGTGCGGGAAAAAGTGTCGGAACTCTGCGTTGAATAATTGGATTGAGGGGAGAGTAAGGATTGAGTTCCAAGAAAATCCAATGTTTTCAGGGTTGGATTACAGTGATTAGTGGGTACTGGGAGCAAAATGGGAAATCCTGGGGACCCCGCCCCACCACAGATGAACACACAGTGTACGGACAAACAAGCAAAACACCCAGACAAGGGTACTTCCAGTGAGATATTAGAGAATAAAACCGAGGAGAAGGTTTGGTTGAATCCGACCCTATTCTGTGCAACCCAGATTAATTCCATCCTTGATAGAGCTCACAGTGCATTGAAACCTCTAGAAACAGTATTTTTAGTGAGTGTTGTACTGTGTTGTACAGTATTATGTCTTTATGTAACCAGTAAACACCTGGAGCTGCAGAGGACGGTTTCCCGGCTCCAGGATCACATATCTAGGGAGGAGGGAGAAACCTATACCTGGAGAGAACGGTTAGCAGTCTCGGGTAGAAACCATGACGAAGCTCTGGAGATATTGAGAACTTCAATGTTACTCCATGAAGCACAAATAAGTGAACTGCAGACTTTAGTTAGCTTATGGAGAAATTTTTCTCCAGGTTCGGAACAACTTTCGAAACAAAAGAGAGATTTGTCCAGGTACGACCAGTGTAACTGCATTGGTCTTCCAGGACCTCCGGGTCCACATGGAAAACCAGGCCAGGACGGATATCCAGGTCTTCCAGGAGAACCGGGACCCATCGGACCAGAGGGTAGGCCAGGACCACCTGGAGAACCTGGTGTTCAAGGACCACCAGGATACAGGTTTCTACCGGATAGAGTTTCCCGACGTGGAGCTAGACGAACTGCTCTCACAAGAATCGCCAATGATTACGGATACGCTGAGGTGATTGCAATTAAGGGAGATCCTGGCTCACCTGGTCCTCCTGGACCACAAGGACAATCTGGACCTATGGGAGTACCCGGGTTCGATGGTACACCTGGACCTGTCGGTCCCATGGGACCACCAGGGGAGAAAGGAGAACCCGGATTAAAAGGAAAGCAAGGTTTGCCAGGACTTGATGGTTCTCCGGCTAACCGGATGCAAGCTGATGCCGGAGTCCGCAGTTTTACATTTGACGGTCTCTCCGGACCCCCGGGACCTCCGGGTAAACCTGGAGAGAAAGGAGATAAGGGAGATCCTGGACCCGTCTCTCTCTACGATCCGATCAACAACGCCAAGCTGATTGTAGGACCCGCAGGGGAGAAGGGAGAGAGAGGAGATGACGGAGCTCCGGGTCGGAGAGGGAAGAGAGGAAAGAACGGGAAGGCTGCTAGGATAGGAAGACCAGGTATAGATAAACTTTTAAATAGACCAAGGACCGAATTTATAAATTTCAACTGCTCACTGCCGCTGGCACAAATTTGAATCACCGGTTCAAATCCTTCCTGAATCTTAAACTTTTAATAGAGCTAGTTCGAATTTGAACCTGAAGTTATTGTACGTAGTTCAGCGACGTTGCTCAAATTCATTAAATTCGGTCCCTGGTGAAGATATACTTTCAAATAGTTTATGTTAATTTATTCCTTTGATGAGGCCACTCCTCCTCTTGGTGGAAGAAATATTTAGAAAAACAGATACTTATTTCTCCAAGAAGTGAATCAATAGTTTAGCAAGAGAAGCAAGTTTGAATTATAAATACAGAAGGAATAAGAAGAGATTATTATGATGGGCTGGGTAGGGAAGGGAAGGGAAGGGGGGGAAGGGGGGGACTTCCAAGAAACATCCCAGATTTCTGACAAAAATGTATAAATTCGATTCCCTTTCCTCCGACCCAAACCTTTTAGACCTTATGATTTGTTATTACTTCAGTTTCTTTATATTTTTAGGCACCAAAGTTTTTGTTTTGTTTACATCATAAACCACTCGTTGTGAGAAAGAAATAATGAGATAAAAAGTTTGTTTATTGATGGGTATTTATCATTTTAGTTTGTATATATGTATAGATACAGGGTGAGTCAAAAAAAAGTGTGATATGCGGCGCGACGCCTACTGCAAAATTGTACCTTTTTTGTGCAACTCTCCTACATGGTTTTCAATATTTTTTTTTAATTTGCAACCCCTCAAAAAAGTCCGCGAACCTTTTTTTCTCTCAAAATCAAAAGTTCAGAAAAGCAAAAAAGTTTACATACATTTTTTCTATCGAAATCTAAAACATCTTAAAGATTAAATCAAAGAATCATAGAAAATTCGCAAAATTGTAATAAGAAAATTCGCAATTTTATTTTTTGTATAATTTTTAAGGAAAAGTTATTTAAATTCTCTTGTTCCTTTCTTCTTAGCATATTCTAAATAATTAAATATACGCTGTTATGTTGAAAAATATGTATTGGCGAAACTGGTGAAAGAAAATTGAGCCAATACATATTTTTCCTGTGGGGCCCTACTTAAAAATCAAACAGCTCGATATAAAATGGAGTACCGTCTGCAAAGCATGTATAATCTTATGGTAGGGCGAACCGCGTCAGTTGTCTCTCCCTTCTATTCCTTGCTCCCTGGGGTAACATAGGCTAACAAAATTCTAAATTTTTTTTTATTCCACGGGCAACGTCGGGGGCTTTAGCTAGTATATTATAATAAATATTTGTTTACATATCATATTTATATATCCTTTATCCTAGGTCTTATACTGTGATAACCAGAAAAAATTGGTTTAATTCTTTCTTTCTAATAAATATAACATGTTGCTCTGTACTTTTTTTTTAGCTGCAGCGCATGTTATTAAATCGTTTTTTTCGTAAACCAAAACGTTTCACACCTCATTATATAACATGTTTAATTCAATATTGATCTTAGAAGTGTCTTGGAAAGTCTCTAAATAAAATTTCACTGTCTAAAATTTGGGTTTTTTTAGGATTGCCCGGAGTTAAAGGAGAAATGGGAAACACTGGAAGTATGGGAATGAAAGGAGAGAAAGGATCTGTCGGACTAGAAGGAGCTCCGGGTATAGTCGGAGCTACGGGACCCGCTGGACCTAAAGGAGATCTTGGCAAAACCGGGCCCCAGGGTCCACCAGGCTTCCCGGGTCATGCTGGATCCAAGGGAGAGAAGGGAGAATACGGCAATATGGGTCCACCAGGACTCATGGGACCACCAGGACTACCTGGACCACCAGGGTATCCGGGTATAAAGGGAGATAAGGGGGATAGAGCGGAGTCAAGAACATCTAAGAAACTTCGGCGTCGAACTGGAATATATCAGAATGACGAGGAGTTTATTGGTCCCGGTCTACCAGGACCACCAGGACCAGCTGGGAAGGACGGAGTGATGGGACCACCAGGACAAAAGGGGGACAGAGGTAACGATGGAGACAAGGGAGAAGTCGGAGAGAAGGGACACAAAGGAGAAATGGGTCCAATGGGGCTACCAGGTCCTATGGGAGTCCCTGGTCCACAAGGTATTGAGGGACCTGTTGGGCCTCTGGGTCTTACTGGACCACGCGGTCCTGCTGGTCAGAAAGGAGAACGCGGAGATGTCGGTCAAATGGGACATAGAGGGGAAAAGGGACACAAAGGGGACTTTGGATTGCCTGGTAAGAGGGGTCGGAAGGGGGACAACGGGCAAGATGCCCCCTGCCCCCTGGGTATTGATGGGTTACCCCTGCCCGGATGTGGCTGGAATATGAAGAATGAAGGAGAGAGTAAATTCTATCTAAAATAAATAAATCCCGGATGAAGAAACAATAAAACCATGGATTGTAAGAAAAGTCTATCCTAAGATTAACCGACTCCTTGGACACTTATCTCCTACCACCAGTCCCGTCCCCCCTCGGTCCTTCCCCTGACATCGAGGACAAAGAAGTGAACAATGTCCTGCTGGGTTAGGACGCCAGGACGGAAAAACAAAGAAGGACGGCCGGAGAAAGAATGATAAATGCTCTTGGATCAAAAAACGTTGATTAATGCTCTAAAGCGATCTAAAGAACCAGCAAATTGTCCCCAAACATCCTTTAGAAACTACGCTCTCAGTATTTGGTGTTTAAATACCATCTATACAAGAAATAGAACTATACTCAACTAAATAACATCTCAAATTGTCAGAACAAGTCTCTCAACAGATTATAAAAGTGTTCAAAAATGTTCTATATTATAACATTTTTTAACAGAAACTAAAATTATTTGATATGTTGAAGATATGAAAATGTTAATATTAAGCCGCTGAATCCAAGTTTTTAAAATCTATAATATGTTTTATGATGAGTACAAATATATGAAACCGAACATGTGACATCCCATACATTGAAATAAAGAGGGATGGGATTAAAGTTTTATAAACATTGGGGAGGTTTTATTCTTTTATATATACCTTCATAATCTAGAAACCATTGTATTATTGCAGTCATTTTAATATACTATTAATTATAATATAATTCGTGTAAACATATGTACATTTATAATAAATATTTTCATAGTTTACTCTTTTTATGTTGATTTATTTAGAGTTTAAAATATGAAACGTCTAGAAGTCTAGAAGCAGCTGCAGAAAATACTAAATCATGTCACATTAAACTAAAGTTAAGAAAATACTAAATCATCTCACATTAAACTAATGTTCAGAAAATAATAAATCATGTCACATTAAACTAAATTGCAGAAAATAGTATATCATGTCACATTAAACTAAATTGCAGAAAATAGTATATCATGTCACATTAAACTAAAGTTAAGAAAATACTAAATAATGTCACATTAAACTAATGTTCAGAAAATAATAAATCATGTCACATTAAACTAAAGTGCAGGAAATAGTATATCATGTCACATTAAACTAAAGTGCAGAAAATAGTATATCATGTCACATTAAACTAAAGTGCAGAAAATAGTAAATAATGTCACAATAAACTAAAGTTCAGTTTATTCTAGTTTAAATCCCAACTATTTACTGTAAAAAATTATTTTTAGATAATATTGGGTTTTAGTTTTCTATATTCAACCAAAAAATGTCGATTGTCTGAGTTTGTATGTGAAATCAAAGCTGGAGAGGCTAGTAAGTCGTAATGTCGTATCTGTCTTTCTAAATAATTAAACCTTAGTACGGTATAGAAAATTCATTTATAAAGAAAAGAAGGGTTACAAAAAAAGTTATCTTATACGTAAAAAAATAATGTATATGACAGAAAAATAATCCTTTTTGCGTTTTCATGATAATTTTCAATTGCCAACCCTCTTTAGACTTTAGATCTTTTAAAATAGAAATGTGCAAATCAGTTAAACTATTTAAATTTCTCTGCGAAAATACTTGCGCATTTTTGAGTATAAGAAGCAATTGAGAAATTATCAGAATTAAACACTTTTCGAGTCAGAAAAATCGGGCATTGCCTTCTTAGCCTGGAGGGTAACTTGAAATTACATGACAGTCCCTTTAATATAAAATGAAGAGTGAAGTAGACTTGAGTTTAAGATTGATTAACCTTGGGTCTACTTGATCAACGTTGGTGCGCAGTGCACAGTGCACAGTTCACACTTTAATTTGAATATTCATAGAATTATGTCATATTTAATCTTTTCAATTATAATTTGACATGTGCACGCACCAGTAGCTACTATAATATAATTATCATAAAAGATAATTGATTTTTGTTTAATTCATTATATTTAAATGTTGCCATTTTTTAACATCGAATTCAGGTGTTTTGCTATGACTAGTTTATATCAACATTTTTGAATATTTTTGTTTTTTAAAATGCTAAAAAAGATTTCTATGTACATTGTACATTTAGTAAGTCTTGATGTAATTATTTATATAGACGGACAAATAAGCAAAGTTGTTTAAAATGTACTAAATGTATTAAATGTATTAAATTGCATCATTAGGATTTTATAAGATGTAACTAATGAAAAAAACCCCCAAAAAATGTTGCCACTGGGTGCATATTTTGTGCCAAACCGAACCCCAAAAACCCCCCCCCCCCCCCATAAGAAAACCAATTTATATAATATATAATCCCCAATTCACTGCATCCCCTTCTATTTCTGTTGATGACATGTAATCAGTGAAATCAAATGTTAATTAATAACTCGTATTGACAAACTACGAACATTAATTATCCTACCTTTCTTCTCTATTACAGTGGTAGACGATAAAATTAATACAAGGAAGATGACTTTCGATACCAATTTTGATTTTTATCAGGCTGTTAAACAGCATGGATACACAAACAATTTGAAGTCAATGGAAGCTGTCAATTTAAAAAGCTTCTCTTTGATTCCTTTAACTTTAATTTAATTTAAAAAAAGCTTGTTAATAATCAAAACTAAAAAAATTGTCTTCATTGTATTGATATAATCGCTTACCACTTTAGCTCCTTCAGCTAGTCCCCCCAATAGATTAATTTTATATTTTTTTGCACTTGAATTTATTTTAACCGAAAAATTATTTGTAAAACGACATGATCTAGAAGAAAAATTAAACATTTTTTGCTCTACATTCTTAATTAAATTAAATCTTTCTTAAAACATTTGAAAATATGAAAAATTGCATATTAACGCGGGGAGGGTTAGCTTTTTAAGTTGGCAGGATGGGACGAGATGTAATTTAGTCGACCACAACAACAGATTACAAGGGACTTCTTAGTCATTTGTAAGTAACTAGCCATAGTGGGCGCTTCGCGCCCATCTTCTAAATTAATTGTGAACATGTTCTCTTTGTGTACATCGTAAAACAAAACAAAAATAATTCGCGGATTTTCACAAAAAATTTGTTTTCACAACACAACAACAGATTACAAGGGACTTCTTAGTCATATTTAAGTAATTGTGTAGGTGAGACTTCAGAGGACTTTTTGGGACCATTAAGGCACACTTGTATGCAAGTCCATTAGCGCCTGATCCAATCAGGGTTCAGTCATGTGTTTGTTGTCTATTCTGAACCAATAGAAATTGCATGGCAGTATCATCTATCAATCTCATTATCCAATTAGAGATGAATCCTTTTATCGGGACTAAACAGAAAATGGAAATATTTACTTCTACTGAAACTATAGTGAAGGTTGTACACAGGAGTCATGGGTATATAGAGGGGAGGGGTTATAAATTTAAAAAAAAAAAAATTTTTTAAGGGGGGCGGGACAATATTACTCGCCCCCTCCCCCATTTTAAGACCTTCTTACACCTTTTGAAATAAGAAATGGTTGAAAACCTAAAATTGATCCAATATGGCGGGAAATGTTGAATTAAAGTTAGATTGGATTAGAGAGAAAACAATGAAGTAGAGATGGTGGGTTAATAGACTTGTTATATTTGGGCGGGTAACCCCTCCCCCCCACCAATCTGAACTTTATGCCCCCCCCCCATCTTCCATGCTTAAATATCCTACTTCCACCTACCAACGGTTGTACACAGTACACACCCGTCTTTTCACCTCATTAGCTATATATATAAATAGAGAGCTATGATTTATAGCTGACATAGGTTACATGCTGCTAGTCTAGTCTATTCTTCAAATAAACTAGACAGAATACTGCCTCAAGATAGAATAGACATTAGACATACACTTTTTTTTATCCCACTAGACAAATCTTAGAGAGAGAGAGATACTTAATTTCACAAATAGGTGTCTCTATTTCTGAGCTTTTTCATTATATAACATTATATAATTGTTTCTTTTAGATCAAAGTTTGGTTATTTGGGTTTTTTCTTAGTTTTGTGTTTTACACAATTGGATTTATCTTTCACCAATGGCAATTAATTTTTTTTTTACTTTTGGTTCTTGTTTTAATATTATGCTTTTGTCGGAAATCCTGTATTTAAAGTACATGTAATTTTTGACTTACATTTGATATTATAGGAGTTGAATCTTTGCCACAATTTAATATTTTCTTATCCCTATATCTGTGCAACCTCATGTCTATGATATTGCGATGCAAAGATATAGGGATAAGAAAACCATAGTGAGTGGCAAAGATTTAAATCCTTTTTAGTATGCTTTTATAACAAGGTATTAGAAGAGATACAGGTCGTCTCTAAAGCCCCACTCATTGTTGGCAATCCTATACAAATAAACCATATGCAGGGTTTTCCAAAAATGATGAGACCAGGATTTTATTCAACGTTATTTCATATTTTTAATGTTTTTATGAAGAATATAATAAGGCAGAGATATTTTCATTTACCAATAAATTTGAAGGGTTTTAAGTTGCTTCAAATCAGCAATCATTGTGAATAACCCTGTATATATATCTGTATTTATGTAGTCATGTATATATCTGTATATATGTAGTCCTGTATATCTGTATATATGTAGTCCAGTAAATATATATGTATATATGCAGTCCTGTATATATATGTATTTATGTAGTCCTGTATATATATGAATATATATGTAGTCCTGTATATATATATCTGTATTTATGTAGTCCTGTATATATATGTATATATGTAGTGGCTGCGGTTTTAGCTACAAAACCACTTGGGGCTCATGTCCAAAGTGGCTGCCTGCGCAACATAAACTATTGCACTATGCTATAAGCTAACGTGCCGGTCACTCCAATGCCGGTGCGATGAGTATAGGGTGCTGACAGTTTTTCGGAGCTAACAGCTGCCTTATAATAGATAGATAGATAGATGAACAAACTATATGTAAACATAGTCGCCAATTATCCAGTCATCTTACAGTCATCCATACCTCGTTAAATTATTAATCTATCCTTGTCAAATATTTTCATGTTTTTTATTTACATTCAACATCCTTCTCATTAAACCTGCCTATTAGTTCCTTTAAAGGGATTGTAGACTTAATTTCAAGTGGCCCTCC